CTAGAGTGCTTCCGCTGGGAATTCTTGTTTACTGTTTGAGGAAACTCAGCGGGGAATGTTGAGGGGGGGGGGGTTAAAGTTAACTGTTATCTGGTCGGATTCCAGGCTTTGTAGCAACTTTCTGGGGATAGTATCAACTTTATTGGAGAAGAGGGGTTCTGTCAGTTGATTTGTAGTAGTTTGAGGAATAAACCCTGCTGAGGAAAGTATTTTGAAGGCCTTACTGGGGAAATGGATTCATCTGGGGAAGAACTTTGGAGAGGTTTCTTTCTCAGCTTTGGAAGACCAAACTTGGTTGGGGAAGAGAATTTCCTGGAGATATGCTGATTGGAACTCTGGATGGAGAATGTATGACTTCACTCTGTGGGGATAATCCTATTGAAGTGACTCTGGGAATATCCCAAATCCTTAAGTAAGCGCTTATTACTGTTCTTGTGTGTATATTTCTTAACAGTTAATTAATGTTCATATGCATATGTTCAATCAATTTTAGTCATTGGACGTTTTTGCACTCAAAACAGTGAAACAAAAAGTTCTCACTTCAAAAAGTATATTTGTATTGATAATTTGCCTATAAACATGCATTTTTGTACATGGAGACATAAATCCTAGTAAGAGGAAGTCGTCAAAAAAATGAAAAGAATACAAAGTGAAAATAAAAATTATATAGCCATGTGGAAGTGATCTCATTGGGTTCCAACTCTGCTATTGCCCCTATGTCTTAGAACATCATCCCTTGCCTTTAGAAGAAGTTGATTGAAATGATCTTGTACCTTTAACCTTTGACCTTTGTAATAAAGCTGTCTATTAGTGATCTGACGGGACATAGTCGTACGCTTTAACCCTTAACTTTTTCCTGAACCACCCTTTCAGGTTTGTAGTCCACCAGGATACCCATTTTTGCCCAAGTCGCCCTTTCAGGTTTTCGACTTGCCGGGTGTACAATCTTTTGTATATATCCATAATTTTTACTCGAACCCTTTTGGTTTGCCGGGTTACCCTTATTTTTGCCTAAGTATGTCAACCTAGCGGGTCATTCTTTATGCGTAGTATTTTTTGACCATGTATGTGTTCACAGGATGCAGGAAATCTTTGTTGTCCATAGTGGTTAGTATCATAGCACCGCCAGAGAATACTTTCTTGACAACAAATGACCATTTGTAAGTGGGAGTCCATTTGCCCTATGACCGCCTTGTGGTAAAATGATGTGCTTTATTACCAAGTCACCATCCTGGTATACTCGATGTTTGATCTTTTTGTTAAATGCCTTGATCATATGCTTTTGATACATTTGACCATGACAAACAGAAACTAGCCTTTTTTCATCAATCAAGTTCAACTGATCCAACCTAGTCTGAATCCATTTGCCTTCGCCCAAGTCTACTTCTTTCATAATCCTTAAGGAAGGGATATGAACTTCGACATGCAGGACGACTTCCATTCCATAGACTAAGGAGAATGAGGTTGCCCCAGTTGATGTTCGTGCCGAGGTACGATAGCCATGAAGAGAAAATGGTAGCATCTCATGCCAGTCTTTATAGGTCACCACTATCTTTTGCACAATCTTATTCATGTTTTTGTTGGCAGCTTCCAATGCGCCATTCATCTTAGGTCTGTATGGAGAAGAATTGTGGTGCTTGATTTTGAACTGCGTGCAGAGTTCAATGATCATGGAATTGTTGAGGTTGGTTTCGTTGTCAGTGATAATCCTTTCAGGGATGTCGTACTGAAAGATGAGGTTATGCTTGATAAATCGAGCTACAACATTCTTGGTAACTGAGGCAAATGTAGCTGCTTTGACCCATTTGGTGAAGTAGTCAATGGCAACCAGGATGAAACGATGTCCATGGAGACAGTGGGCTTGATCTCTCCAATCATGTTAATTCCCCATATCGCAAGTAGACACGGAGCAGTCATGACATTCAAAGGAATTGGAGGCACTTGAACCTTGTCGGTATAGATTTGACACTTATGGCAAGTCCTCGAGTGGTGGTGACAATCAGTTTCCATAATCAACCAATAGTAACCAGCCCTCAAAATCTTCTTGGCCATAGTGCGCCCGCTAGAGTGAGTTCCAAAGATACCTTCATGCATGTCTTCCATGATCTTTTCTGCTTCTTTCTTGTCCATACAACAAAGCAGAGTAGCATCATGGTTACGTTTGTACAGGATCCCATTGCTTAGGAAGAATTTGGCTAAGAACCTTCGTAAGATTTTTTTTTTGTTTTTGAATGAAGCTCTTTCAGGGTACTCGTGTGCTTTGAGGTACCTCCTCACCTCATGATACCAAGACTTCTCCTCATTGTGTCGATCTCATAACAGTGCGCAGGTTCGTCAAATCTTTCGATAGTAATTTTGGGAGCTTTATTGTCCCAATTGACCTTGAACATAGACGACATAGTTGCTAAGGCATCTGCCAACTGGTTTTCTTCCCTTGGAAAGTGTCAAAGGTGACCTCTTCGAAGTAAGGGATCAAGGTTAGCACGTGCTCTTTTTATGGGATCAGATTTGGATGTTTGGTATCTCACTCTCCTTTAACTTGACTGATTACTAGGGCTGAATATCAGTATACACTTAAGCATTTAATTCTTAGGTCAATGGCAACCTTTAGACCCAAGATGCACACTTCATACTCGGCCATGTTGTTTGTACAGTCGAAGCACAATCTGGCAGTGAACGGCGTATGGAAACCTTCAGGAGAAGTGATCACAACACCAATTCCGTTACCTAAGGCATTGGAAGCTCCATCAAAAACCATAGTCAATTGGGATCCTTGTTCAGGTCCTTCATATGGTCCAGGCTTTTCACAATCAGTTATCAGCATGATATTCTCGTCTGAGAATTCAAAGTTCATGGATTAGTATTCATCAACAACTTGATGGACCAAATGATCCGCCAGCACACTTCCCTTGATTGGTATTGTGTAGTGTATTGGATGTCATATTCAGTAGAGATCATTTTCCATCTAGCCATTTGTTCGGAAAGAGCTGGTTTCTCGAAGATATACTTGATGGGATATATCTTAGAAATCAATAAGGTAGTATGAGTCAACATATACTGTCTTAGTCGGCGAGCAACCCATGCCAAAGCGCAACAAGTTTTCTCGAGCAGTGAATATATGGTTTCACAGTCGGTAAACTTTTTGCTAAGGTAGTATATTGCATGCTCTTTTCGGTCAGACTCATCATGTTGACCCAACACACACCCCATTGAATTCTCTAATATAGTCAAGTACATAATCAGAGGTCTTCCTTCAACTGGAGGCATCAGGATTGGAGGTTCTTGTGATTACTCTTTGATCTTGTCAAAAGCTACTTGGAAGTCGTCATTCCATCTGACTACTTGATCTTTCTTCAAGAGTTTGAAGATCGGCTCACAGGTAGCAATTAAGTGAGAGATGAATCAGGCAATGTAGTTGAGTCGACCTAAGAAACCTATGACTTCCTTCTCAGTATAGGGAGCTGACATCTCTTGTATGGCTTTGACTTTTGCAGGATCGACTTCAATACCTTTCCCACTAACGACGAAACCTAGAATATTTCCAGACCTTACCCCGAAGGTGCATTTGTTGGGATTCAGCCTCAACTTGTACTTCTTCAATCTTTCAAGTAGCTTGTGAAGATGATCAAGGTGTTCTTCCTCAGTTTGTGACTGTCATACCCCAAATTTGTCCGCCTTAGTGCTACCGTCAAATTGATTTTCAAATTTGGGTGTTACAAATATAAAATTCCTTTGATTTAATTATATTAACATGCCGATGTTCTTTAATAAAAATTTGCTTTCAAGTCTGTTTGAAAATATAATAATTATTTATATTTTTATAAAAAATAGAAAATAATTGTTCGCTGTCATATACTTTTAATTGGCTTTTTACTTTCGAATAAGTAACACAACACAATTGGTAAGGGAGAAAGACTTACAAGTAGAAGGCCACAGGTTTGAATCTCACTCGGTGCACTTTGAATATTTTTGTTGTTACTAACTTTATTTTCATTTTCTAAACCACAAAAATCATATTTTTATTATTAAATTATATTTTCGTATTTATTTATTTATTATATTTTAAAAATATTACTTTTTTATTAAAATATTATTTTATTTAAAAAATAGTCAAAACAACTTATTAATAGATAAAATCTAATTTGGGCTTTTTATTCATTTTGGGCTAACTTTCTCTTCAAGTTTTTAACCTAATTCAACTTTATAAACATGACTAATTTGTTGTCCTAATTTTTCATTCATGATTTCCACAGTATCAACAATCATACAGAATTTTGCAATTTTCTTAAACACACAATTATGCATTTTTACTAACACACATCTTTTCAAGTTTCTACGTTTTTTTAACAATTTTGGCCGATGATTTCTATGAGGCCTCCTTTTTTACTTCTTAAATTTTTGTCTCTCTCTTAATTTTAATCTTATTTGTTTTAATTTCGAAATATTTGTTTGAATCATAAGATTATGTTTAACGGCTGGTTTTATGATATTATATTTTATACTAAACAATTATATGGCGTAAATTTTTTCACTAACGTCCGCTCAATGTATATTTTTACTACTAACAATTTTTACTCTTCTTTATAGACGCCTTGTACATATTTTCTTAAACCTACATAAGTCAAAATTCATAACATACTAGCCCCCGAGGCAAATCTTTATCGGTGAGTAACCATATTTTTACTATCATGTTTATGTGAAAACCAAATCCTTAGGCAAACAGTCCCTGTAAGCTCACCCGTCACCTCTTTTATTTCAAAACCATTTCAAAAGGTCTATCAAACATTTTTTTCTGTTATTACTAATAATCTGCAGGTACCATAGAAGAAGCATAACAGAAGTTTGCAAACAGAGCAAAAATAATAGTAATAATGATACTTCAAACTAAATTGTTGCTGTCAATAAAAAAAAAGAACAAAGGGACAACCAACAACAATGTCAACCTCTTCACAAGCGCAAACATAACAACTCTTCGCACGTCTCAATCGCAACGCCGGTCTATGCCAATCGACGGTCTGCCGCGGCTGTTGCGACCTCCTCTACTCAGATCCTGACAACCTGCTTCGATCAAAAACAGCAACACCCAATCAGCGTGAAGTGCCTCCGGTGCCCATCGTTCCGCTGCCTACTCCCTCCAGCAACATCGTGCATCATTCCAATGACGAGCAACATCTCGATATCAGCCACACCGCTCAAATCCGCCTTCGCAAGCACTTCAACGACTCCGGCTTCATTCTACTTCCAGTCTCTCCCCTGCATCCTCTGTCCTCCGTTCACCGTCAATTTAACCGTCCCGACCTCCAACTAGCCAGCGAATCAAAGCGAGCACCATCGAATTTCTGACGCTGATGCGAACCACCATGGCCTCCCTCGATTTCAGATCAACCGCCACCACTGTTGTGAGTTTCATTTTTTCTTTCTTTTCACATTTTTGATTATTTGATGTTTTTGTGTGGCTTGGAATAAATGAGAAACAAAGCAATGGATGTCGAAGATAAAGTAACAGTGATTACTAAGAGAGATGAATCGGTTCCGCTACTGTCACTCTTTTTTCTTTTGTTATGTTTGTTTGTTTTTATTCATTTTCCATATTATTAAAGGCCATGTTACGTGGTACCGCATGATTGGTTAGCATATATTAAAAAACTCAAAACTAAAAATTAACTTTGCTTCAATTCTAAACGTGATGTGAATAAGGGGCTGCTCTTGTATACTTTTTAATTATTTACATTAGTTTTTTAATTAGATTGATTTATATAATTAGTTCGGTTAATTTATTCATTAGGTTATATCATGGGGGTTGTTTTAATTTGGTTTATTTAAAGTAATTAGATCACTTATCTCATAAAAAATATATTAATCCAAATATTTTTTATAAATATTAATTAATTCAAATATTCTATAAATAATAAGACGTCTATCTCCGAGTAACTAAATCGGTCGACACATCGTCTACCAGTTTATTATACTAAATTAAACAATTAAAATCCACACAATTCCAAATATTTCATCCGCAAGCAACATGTGGTCAATATCTGGCCACATGATGAGAACGCGTGAGGAGGAGACTATATCAGACTCTCCCGCTCCACGTCTTAATCAAATCAAATATCAAAACAACTAACCAATGATCAAACTTTTTTCTACTAACATAATAAAACCTCAAGATATTTTCAAAAAGGATTAAATAGCATCGTCTTCGAATCAAACTACGAACTGCGTCTACGATCATTCAATTTACAATCCAGACAAGGTTCAACGATAAATTTGAAAGCAATTCTATGCAATCCATAAAAAACACCAACCACCCGTGAACTACGAAATGGAACTTTGATTCCTCCTAAGAGGATACGTAGGCATACGACTAAAATCGTGGCGAGTTCCCCTATTAAAATTTAAAACTCTTTTTCCCAAAACTATTAAACCTAGACCTAGTATCCTTGTGAACAAGGTAGATGAAAGGTGCCTACCACCCTTCTTTTATCTAAAGAAGTTCGAAACCTAGAATCTTTGTTTACGAAATTAGGGTTTCCTATTAGATTCTCTTCCTTAAGATGAAAACTAGTAGTGGCGACTCTGATTTTAAATCTGATTGCAACAGCGACCTTGAAATTATATCATTAACGTACATTTCTATCTCATGATGGATCATGTCATGAAATAGAGCTACCATAGCCCGTTCATAGGTTGCACCTGCATTCTTCAAATCGAAAGGCATGTCCTTATAACAGAAGGTGCCCTACTATGTAACATAAGTGGTTTTCTCCATGTCTTCGGGTGGCATTTTGATTTCATTGTAACCAGAGAGTCCATCCATGAAGGAGAAAACTTTGTGTTGAGCAGTGTTATCAACCAAGACATCAATGTATGGTAGTGGGAAATCATCCTTGGGGATTGTCCTATTTAAATCTCCGTAGTCTACACACATACGAACTTCTTCGTCTTTCTTTGGCACCGGGGGACAACATTTGCAATCCATTAAGGATATGACACCACTGCTAGGAAACCTGCATTAAACTTCTTCATTACCTCAGCTTTTATTTTCTCAGACATATCTGGCCGCATGCGATGAACCTTTTGCTTGACGGAGGACATCCTTCCTTCAGTGGCAGACGATGAACAACAATATGAGTATCAAGCCCCAACATATCTTTATATGACCAAGTGAACATATCAATATAGTCTTTCAACATCTGAACCAATCTGCTCTTGACATGGTCTTCCAAGTTGGTGCCAATCTTGACCTCTTTCTTATCTGCCTCAGTAACCGGGTTTATCACTTCAACTGGTTCCTAGGTATTTCATAATCTTCTTCACCTTCGTCTTCGGCTTGATAGATTGGATTTTCAAGGTCATAGATGGCGATAACAAGATCATTGTCAATGAGATCCAGAGTGGATGTGGATCTACAAATGTGTGTGTGCATGTAACGTCACATGGATATTTTTAAAATGCAATAAAGTAAAGAAAGGAAAATAACGCAAAATTTGAATGCAAAATAGTCCAATGTTTTTCATTAAAATGAGCATATGGCATATGATTATGACAAACCCTTAACAAATGGACCATTATATCCCGGGAAAGGCACATGGTTTAAAGTCATTGTTTTAATGGAAATTACAGACAAAGTTCTCAAAGTAAATAAAAATAGAAAATGGTAGTTACTCCTGGTTGAAGGAGATTGAAATGAAGTCCTTGGTTTTCCAGTTGTTGAGTCATGCACTAGCAGTTGGGTAAATCCAATCGTCGAAGTCACAATCAGCTTCAGAGTCTTCAAGAGCATTAACCTCATGGTTACTAATGCGGAGAGGTGGTTTCCTTGCACGAGCACATCGAACCTCCTTTTGAGCCTTAGAAGTGATGCCCAACCCAAATTCATCTGATTTGAAAGGGATATCAGGAAGTTATCCCTAGATGGTGCAACCTCTATGTTCAACCATAGCACGAGCATCTTTGAGTGAGGCCATCCTTCTTTCTGAGTGGTATACTGAATGTCGTATTCTGTTAAGACCGTTTACCATTTGTCGATCCTTCCGGAGAGAGCTGGCTTCTCGAATATATATTTGATGAGATCCATTTTAGAGATTAATAAAGTAGTATGGGTCAACATATACTGTCTTAGTCGGTGAGTAGCCCATGCCAAAGCGAATCAAGTTTTCTCGAGCAGTGAGTATCTTGTTTCATAGTCGATAAATTTTTTGCTAAGGTATTATATTGCATGCTCTTTTCGACCAAACTTGTCATGTTGACCCAGTACATACCCCATTGAGTTCTCTAACACTGTTAGGTACATGATTATAGGTCTTCCTTCCACTGGTGGCATCAGAATCAGAGGTTCTTGTAGGTACTCCTTTATTTTTTCAAAAGTTGTCTGGCAGTCGTCGTTCCATTTTACCAGTTGATCTTTCTTCAGCAGCTTGAAGATCGGTTCACAAGTAGTAGTCAAATGAGAAATGAATCGGGAAATGTAATTCAGTCGTCCCAAGAAACCTCTGACTTCCTTCTCAGTACAGGGAGTAGGCATTTATTGAATAGCTTTGACCTTGGCAGGATCAACTTCAATACCTTTATCGCTGACGATGAAACCCATGAGTTTACCGGACCTAAACCCAAATGTGAACTTGTTCGGATTCAACCTCAACTTATACTTCTTCAGTCTCTCAAACAATTTATGTAGATGGTCCAGATGCTCGGCTACATTCTATGATCTGGCTATCATATCGTCGATGTAAACCTCTATCTCATGATGAATCATGTCATGGAATAAAGCTACCATGGCACGCTGATAAGTTGCATCAGCATTCTTCAACCCAAAAGGTATAACCTTGTAACAGAAAGTGCCCCACTGTGTGACAAAAGTTGTTTTCTCCATATCTTCAGGCGCCATCTTGATCTGATTATACCCTGAGAAACCATCCATGAACGAGAATACCTTGTATTGAGCAGTGTTGTCGACCAAGAAATCAATATGTGGAAGTGGCAAGTCATCCTTGGGGCTTGCCCTGTTCAAATCCATATAATCTACACACATGCGTACCTTGTCCTCTTTCTTCGGTACCAGTACAACATTTGCAGCCCATTGACGATATGGTGTCACTGCTAAGAAAATTGTGTTGAATTGCTTCATAACCTCAGCCTTGATCTTCTCTGACATCTCGGAATGCATTCGACGAACCTTCTGCTTTATCGGAGAATAACCCTCTTTCATTGGCAGATGGTGAACCACAATATCAGTATCGAGCCCTGGCATGTATTCGTAAGACCACGCAAAGATCTCAACATATTCGTGCAACATCTTGATTAACCTGTTCTTGACACTTCCCTATAAGTTAGCGTCTGTCTTGACTTCTTTCCTGTCTGTTTCAGAACCCAAGTTTATAACCTCGACCGACTCTTCATGCAGTTGTATAGCCTTTTCTTCTTGTATTAAGAGTCTGGTAAGTTCTCAAGGTATTTCACAATCTTCCTCACCTTCGTCCTCGACTTGGTAGATCGGATTTTCAAAGTCATAAGTGGCAATAGCAAAATCGTTATCAACGGGATCCATAGTGGATGTGGATCTATAATTTATTGTATGGGTGTGTGTAAGAACACATAGCTATTTGAAAGTGCAATAAAAATAAAAGAAATACAGAGAGCGCAAAATTTGAATGCAAAACTTCCAATGCTTTTATTAAATGAAAATATATTTATGAAATGTCAACCCTTAACAAATGGACCATTGTGCCCCGGGTAAGACACAAGGCTTAAAGTTATTGTTTAAACGTTACATAACCAAAACTTTTTAAAGCAATAAAAAAGAAATGTAGCTATTACTCCTGACTAAAGGAGATAGAGATAATGTCTTTCGTCTTACAATTGCCGAGCCTGTTGGCAATGGTAGGAAAGATCCAACTGTCGATGTCATAATCACTGTCAGCATCTTCTATTACATTGACTCTGTTGTTGCTGACATGGAACAAAGGTATTCCAGCATGAGTGCGACAAACAACCCTTTGACCCTCTGCAGTGAAACCCAAACCAAATTTGTCAGATTTATATGGGATGTCAGGAAGTTTACCCCAAATAGTACAACCACCTTCTTCTACAACAACTTTAGTATCTTTCAAGGAAGCCATCTTGTGCAGAACCCTGGTAACCTTAGGAATGGCAGAAACGTCTTCTGTAGCGGTAGGGTAAATCACTTCAAAAGTCTTACAAGGACTCTTGATGAATTCTCCATCCATTTCTACATAACGAGATTATTTTACCCCAAAATTTTCCCTCTCACTTATCAAGAATTTACTCATAAGATCTCCTTGGGCACAAGACTGCACTAGGGTTTGATCAGCTCAAGACACCTC